CAGCTTCCTCCACTGCCGCCGCTCCTTGGAATCCGGCAGGAAGTCCGTGTGCGCCACCGCGGCATCCGGGCTCCAGGTGCCCAGCGGCAGGGAGCCCAGCGGCTGGCTGAGCAGCGGCAGAGAGGCTAGGGAGGCGCGGAAGTGCCGCATCAGACACGCCAACACACCGCTCAGAGTGGCCAGGTGGAGCACGTGAGGAGGCTGGGGGAGGGATGGGGATGGGAAGGGGGAGGGGCAGGAGGGGGGAAGACGAGGGGGGTGACTGCATGCGCCCGATCCATGGAGAGCGGGGGAAGAGAGCGCGGGGAGACGTGTCAAATACACGTCACAAAATTTCGCCGACAAAAAAGACAAATCTTTGTTCTCCGGAATGCAAGGGAATTAAGAGGGGTATTCAGCAAGAGAACCCCAAACTGCCCTTTCCCCCTTCTCACCTGCCCTTCCCCCCTCACACACATACATACACACACACGCACCTCGGCGCCCCCCGGGTCGCCGCTCAGCACGGGCGCCATGGAACACTTGTTGGCCGCCAGCCTCGCCACCACCTTGGCAAGGTCCTCATCAGGCAACACATACACCAGGCGCTTGGGCTCGCGGCCCTCCGCCGCCGCCTCCTCCCGCAGCCCCCGAATGGTGTGCGCATCCATCTCCGCCTCCGACATGGGGTTGGCGCCCGACGACACCGAGTGCCGCAGGCGGCGGAGTATGGAGATGAAGTCGGAGGCGGAGATGACTCCAGGGATGCAGCGGTCGACCGCGTCCCACAAGGGCGCGGAAGCAGTGCCCTGGGGGGAGGAGGAGGACGCGGGGGGGGGGGGGAAGGGGGAGGGGTAAGACTGGCGGACCACTGGCGAATGAAGCAAATACCCCAGAGAAACAGACGGATATAGTCCATGAGAAGGCAAATGTTGCATTTCAGGAATATCTACTGACCAGGGATGGAAGAGGTGTGTGTGTGTGTGCGTGAGGGGGGAAGGGGCCAGGCAAGGGGCTGAGTGTGAATGCCCACCAGCCGTACGACAGTCCTTTGTAGCTGACAAAGCAGCATTTGGAGTACTCAGCGAGTCCGCAGATAGTCCCAGGCGGGGGCCCAACCACCTCAACCACCAACCATCCCAAACTCAACCCCACCACTACCACCACACCAACAGCATCAGCTCCTTCTCCTTACCCCGCCCCCCTACTACTCCCCTACCTGCTCATGCAGCGCATGAAATGCCTGTCGTACAGGCAGGTCCAAATCCAGGACCACCACTTTCCCGCTCTCGGGTATGAGCTCGTAAGCCGTGTGCGCGTGGAGAAAGTCCGAGATCTTCTTGCGGGTGTACTCCTGACAACAACGACAACAACAACAGCATAGGAGGGGGGGGGAGAGAGGGGGAATACGAACCACCACGTGAACGAGTGAAGCTCATGCCAAGGAGGATATAGACTCTGATGCGGCTGGAGTACGGGGGTAGGTAGGCGAGGTAGGGGTGTGGGGGGGAAAGACGAACCACACACGATTGAAGCTGCTGCCAGGGCAAGAGTGTATCAAACGTGTGGGTGTGGGGGGGCAGGTGGGCGGGTGGGATGAATCATAATCGAAACAGTGGGATGATGATGGAGATGGAGGAGATGGAGGAGGTCCGGCTGCCGGTACTCGCAAGACACACAAGTGCACACCGGTGTCACAGCATGCTGTGCATGGAGACAGCAGGGGGCGGAAGAGTGGTTTTGCAAGGGATGGGGGGTGGTGGTGGTGGACATGGGGATGGTGGTGGGAAGGGAAAATAGACAGAGGTGGTGAATTCAAGGACGCACAGCTGGGGCGGAACCAAGTATGTAACGGCTACGGACGTGGAGGACAAACTGCTACCCATGGAGTCCCCCTTCTGCGTGCGTGTGCGTGTGTGTGTATGGGAGCCCCCGCGTAACACGAACCACTGGCGAATGCAGCAGTATAAACCCGAGGGGGGTACCCGGGGGAGGAGGGGGCCCGCATCCTTGAGCACAGGCTGCAGCTGTGTACAGCGTTCGGAGACGGCAGCTGTAGCAGCAACCGGCAGCGCTGGCTGCACTGCAAATATACGGGGCTGTGTCCGGGGGGGGGGGCCGGGTGGGCTGCAGACCACCCGCACCCCCACCCGCGGGCGACTGCGGGCCGCCCCCCGCTGCTGCTGCTGCTGCTGCTGCTGCTGCTGCAGGTGGCGCTGTGGTCGCCGTGGATAAATCCCCCGGTGGCGGTGGTGGTGGTGGTGGCGACGTCAGGACGACGCAGCTGCCCAAGGAAACCACATCACCTCCCCCTCCCCCTCCTCCCGCAGACGACAACGACAGCAATGGCGATAAGGAGCAGCAGCTGCGAAGGGCAGCGACTGATGCGCCCCACATCACCCCGAGACTGCCCCGCCACGTGCCGTAAAGAGGGAGGGACTCTGGGCGGTGTACGGCCTCCACAGCACCTGTGGCGGCGTTCTGTGTCGTGTATTGCCGTACGTCCATCCGGCAGTTCAGCAGAGCCGATTCACTGCAGCAGCTGCGGCGACGGCGGCAATGACGATAACGACGACGAAAGAAGAGCTGCGTGCTACCGCCCTGGCCCGAGCAGCCGCCGCCGCCGCCAACGCCACCGCCACATTGCCGCACCCCTGAGGCTGCCGCCATCGCTGTTACTACTACCAGCACTGCTGCTGCTGCTTAGGCATTGCCGTTGCGGCTACAGCTTCCACCGGTGCAGTGACCACTGCTACTGCCACTATACCGTTATGCGTTACTGTACGGCACTGCTGCTGCTGCCCCGCCCCTCCTCTCCGTAATGCCTTCGCGGCAGCTGATCGGCCAGTCTGCTGTGTGCTTTGCAAACATGACATACCGGCGGGCCCCGAAACCAAATCTCCCTCCCATTTCTCCCCTCCCCCCTTTCCCCTCAACACACATAGACAGCGGCTCCCCACACGGCACAGGCCCCCCTTTCCCCCCCACCTCCCACACTTACCGGCTCCTTCGGATTGTGGATTACGATGGGCGGCACAACCGCCTCCGTCCCCCCCATGTCTACGTCTCCTTGGTGCGGCACCCCCTGGAGCGGAATGACCACCTGCTGCCCGCACCCACCACCGCCACCACCACCACCAGCGGACAGGGCAGGCCCGAGTTGTAGGTGGGCGAGATGGGGGTGCTGAGCGAGGGACCCGACTGCCGGACCGCCTGCGAGAGCGGGTACCGCACCCACAACCAATGAGGGTGACTGCTGCTGCTGCTGAAGTTGTTGCTGATGATGATGTTGCTGTTGCTGCTGTTGTTGTTGTTGTTGCTGCTGTTGCTGCGACGCCACAGCTGCGGGCGATGCGCCCGTTGGAATGGTGTGAAGTTGCTGCAGGGTTTGGGCCGCCTGTGCGGCTGCTACCGCTTGAGCTGCTTGCAATGCAGCTGCCTGCTGTACGGCCAAATGCTGCTGCGGGTCGTACGATCCGGGGCTGGTGGGGTCGGGGGGAGGTACGAGGGAGGTACGAATATGGGGTGAGGGCCGGGGGGTTATGAAGAGTTTGTCAGTATGTGTGTAAGAGGGGGAATGCAGCGTAACGGGCTGTCGTCGGATGGGTTGGTGCCTGGTTCTTCGTGACAGGTCAAGATGGATGAAGATGCGACCCGAATCCTGGGTGGACTTGCTCGAGCAGTAAGAGCAGACGGGCGGGGAGTGCAAACTTTTAAATTTGGCAAGGCGGAGGGAGATTTGGGGAGACGAACCACAGACACGAGTGATGATGCTGATACTCGAGAGGGGGCGAAGAGAGGGGGAATGCAAATGTGGGTTGGTGGCAAGGGGGTGGCTGTTGCATGTCTGTGTGAGGAGGGGCTTGAGGCCTCCGATGTAGGCGGCTGGTGTGGGGCCGCAGGGTGGTGTGGGTTATGCCGAGTCGCTGTGGGGCAGGCAGGGCGGCAGGCTATCGTAGGGGAAAAGCGGCCCAGCTGGATCCCCAGGCTGTTTGCTGCGGCTTGCTACTGCTACTCCAAAAGGATGCGAACAGAAGGGCGGGAAAGTAGAGATGTGACCCAGATGCGATAAAAACCTGACGCCCGTGTAATGGCAAATGGTGAAAACTAACAAGCCGTGGGTAGTGGGGGTGAACGCAGCGGGGTAGGGGAGCGAGGCATAAGGACAAATTACGACCTATAAGGCGTCCCTTTTCTAATGTCAGAATGGACTGGAGGCAAAGAAAGCAATTCAAGATGGTAAATGGACGAGCCCCAGAGCACAATTGCCGACGAATTGAACTCGCGAAACCATCCCGGACCAAACCTGCATCTTACGTTGCTACAGGTGTCGGGGTAGGATCTATTCTCCGAACAAAGAGCCAGTTGTTGACGTTTCCTAAGGGGTCTGGCATAAACGGGGCAGTCTCGTCGTGCCGCCACTTGCCGTCTACAATGAACTTATACTGGTGGTACCTGCGGTGTGCCAGTGCATAGGCCCTCTTACTATGATCAAACTGCTGCCTGGCTCATGGGCTTAGAACAGCTGCAGGCCATTCCCCTCCCGACAAGGGCCACGCACCCGGGAGGCAGGTGAACAACTACGGCGAACACCCCAGGAGTACCGTCCACAGGAGCCATTGGAACTGTTTCGACCCAGCGCGTAAACGAGCCGCATAGGTGGACCTGCATGAGCGCAGGAGAACGAAATGGCGCGACGACTGGATGACAACTTCGCCGCACGCCGAAAATCAGGATTGCTTCTCGAATCCTTTACCTGACGTCCTCCGAAGCGCCATACAAATCGGGTCGGTACAAAGTAGCTCATTTGGGCGTCACTGCAGCAAGCCGCTCTCGGTCCGTCTCTTCCGCTGTAACGCGCCTCCCCTCATACTGACAGCTCCGCTACCCAACCAAGTAGGCAAAACTCATACAAAGGTCAGGCCCACGAGCCGGCTGGAGAGTCGACCCCCAGTCGCGGGAGGTCGTTTAATTGGCACCCCGAAAGGACTAAAGTTTCTAAAGTACACACGAGAAGATTGTAACGTTTGCTCGTATATAGTAACAATACTTTTGGGCCTGCACAGATTGCTGCAGCTGCAGCACCATGCTATGCAGCACGAAATTGATGCTGACATGGCATGATGTCTCTTCGGCCCATCCGGGTGCGCATTGGGAATACTCACAACAGCATATTCCGCTTAGGTATGATTATTGCATACAGCTCCCAAATTTCATGCACCTGGCTGCCACGTCGGCGCCTCGAGTCCGACTGTTGCGGCAGTTACCAACCCTTTATTGCAGTCGCGAAAATTTGCCACCAAAGCTTCATTTCACAACGAAGCCAGGTTCGACGAAAAGGGCGGCCATAGCTGCTCTTGCGGTTGCCACGCATTAGACCTGCCCTGGTACCGATGCTCCCCTGTTTTGGGAATCGAAGCAATCAGCCACGCAAGCGGAGCACTCGGCTGGTCAGGGGACGGGAAGGGGAACTGCAAACAAGTTCACCGGGGTTCACCAGAGGGTAATGCTCACGCTGAGTCGCGGCATGAATGTAACGGCCATAACGGTCAGGACGGATAACGGTCAGTGATGATCACGGCCGATGTGAACGGGGGAGAGGGGGTCACGGAGGCAGGGAGGGAAGGGATTAGGCCGGGGAGGGAAAGAACGGGTTCCGCCGCTGTACGAAGCCAGGAGATGAGCCCGAACAGCAAGGGACAGGTTTAGAAGGACAAAAACAAAACCCACGGGTGCGCACACACGTACGCGTGCACGTACTCTTGAACGGTATGCTTGTCTGTGTTAAACGGACCGGAATGGTCGGGTCAGTATGCGATTGTTACAGTGGATTGGATCCCGATCGGGTCGGGTCGGGGCTCAGTCAGGGGGCTAGCTAATTCATGGGCTGACAGACGGCGCCTTGATCTAAATCTGACGCGAGCATGACAGATCCGATTCGGCCATCAAGGCGGCCAGAAACGGCATACCTGCTGTTCACAGAGATATCTAAACGTACTGTGTTCTTCTCTCGTATCGTATTATCGTACCTCTGGCGTGCCCGCCGGTACTTTACTTTGCGGTACCGAAACCGCACCCCACGTTGCGTCACCACACCGAGGCCGGCGAGCGCACAACTCATAGTTGCACAGGAGGAGGAGAGGGCCGCCGTGAGGAAAGTGGCCTGTGCTGTTCCAATTCAAGTTTCATGTTGTCGTCCTTGCTGTTTGTCGTGCCGTTTAGAGATACTTGCGTGCGAATGTGTCTCGGCCGCTCGGTGTTCCCGCCCGGCTTGTAACTTTTTTGTCAAGTCACGTGCGGAGTGCACCCTGCTTCGCCGCATGGCTCAGAATTCGGCCGCCATGCCCTTTACAAGGGCACCGTGATTCATTCCTTTTTGTTGCTATAGCTGCGCCGTGCATCCATACGTATGATTGGTGTCACGGGCAGTTTCAAGATGTGTCCAAGGAAATATGCAGCAGCGCACTAGGATACCAATTTCCACTTGCTGTCTGTCAACTTATCCTGTTTCAGAGTTCTCACGACTTGTCCAGTGGTAGTTTCCGAACCCGCCAGAGTTCGATATTTTCCAACTGACAGAAGCACATTAATGCTGTGATGGCACCGAAGCAGTGGAAGTTCTTGAGCATCTCAAGCTATACGGATGGTAGGGCCTTACAGTTCCCAAGTTTATGGAGCTGCGGTAATAGTAGAAGCAGTCGACAAGCCGGCACCAATAGGTGCGTGGCAGCTGCGGGGTGCATCCATTCATTTCCCCACATGCATAGACCATACAACTTGGAGAACGCTGCGACTCAGGTGTAACTGTTGTGTTGCAGTATGAGCTGGCAGCCTTCTTTGGACTGGAAGTTAGCGTACGGCAAGGTCCAGAGTCCGTAACGGTAAACGGTATGGACGCGCTTCATAGATCATGGTATTCCATACGGTTTAATACTCCGATTCCTGGAACTCAGATTTTCTGTTTCTTTAATTTCACGTGTCGTGTCGGAGGAAACTGCTCTTCTGTTTCTAGCAGCACCTGGAAGGGATTTTCGGATAACCATTACAAGATGCCTCGCTTGGGTCTACGGCTGAATCCCATAACACTACTACTGGTGTTGATTGAGCTATTATGGCATGAAGGTTTGTATCGTGAGAGACGAAAAGTGTCCTCGGACTGTGACGGTTGGCCTGCGTTAGCATTTCCGGAAGGAAACAACAATTCGCAAAGCTCCCGGAGAAAATACAGTTTCCACCTTTTCCATGCCCCTCTGTAGCTGTGCAGATAAGGCAAAGCAACCTCTTGGCTTTTGGCGCCTTTGTTCCAGTGTTGTAAATTGGGCATGTCGAGGACGTTATTTTCACAGTTACATACCGCCAAACCTCCATGGGTACGCCGTTGCAGGTATTGCACTTCGTCTGCCTTCACTTTCATCCATGCGCAACCCCATAAGGCGGTTCGGCGATGTTGCAGTCGAGCCGGGCTCGATGCATTCCCAGCCCGACCGCGTATCGGCCGCCACCAAGGCAACGCTGGAGGGGCATCTTCGGCCATCAGCCGTCAAGAGGAGAGAATTTGCAGATGGCGACGACTCGAGCATCCGCAACCACTGGGCTCTGCTAGTAGCCGGGTCTGCGGGGTGAGCGGCTTCTTGACGCGCGGCAGATAGACCTCCTGATGCTTATTTAGTCTTCCTCAGCCCCTCGCCGTCGAGCCCCTGATGCAATGCATATAGCGCCCCCACAATCCTTGACAAGACCAAAACTCGTGCAACCTTTGATAATCTCACCTCCCAACCCCCTACTTGCGGAGATTTTTTTGAAAACCCGAAAACCGATTCACAAAGTCGCGCTCCGCTTTAAGTTGCTTGACTCCCCACTTGTGAACCTTCCCCCCTGTCTTTCCCCCTTCCCATTTTCCAACTGCCTCCGGACACCACCATCATCATCATCATCATCATCATCATCATCATCATCATCATCATCATCATCATCATCACCATCGTCATCACCATCATCATCATCATCATCATCACTATCTAAATCACTATCGTCGGGCAGGTGGCCCAACTACCGGCACCAGGCCGACGTGTGTCACGCCTACCAGGTGCTGCTGCGCGGGGGACTCAGACCCGCACACATAGTGGTCATGATGTACGACGACATAGCGTACGACACACAAAACCCATTCCCGGGGCAGGTGTTCAACTCTCCAGGTGCGGTGGGGCTGACTGCCGGTCGTCGTCGTTGCCCACGCGTTGTGGTGTACACATACCCAGAGGGGAAACCAAACAATATCTCCAATCGAAATAGTGCCGCTGCGGAAAGAATGAATCTAATGATGTACGGCGTCCAGGTGGGCCCGATGTGTACGACGGTGTACGGGTCGATTACCGCGGATCGGACGTCAACGCCGCCACCTTCCTGGCTGTGCTGGAGGGTAATGCCAGTGCCGTACCGCCGGGTAACGGCACCGGCCGGGTGATTGCCAGCGGGCCTTATGACCGCGTTTTCATGTTCTACAGCGACCACGGCTCCCCTGGAGTGCTGGGTATGCCCTCCGGTGAGTGCCCGGGGGGAGGAGTGAGAGGGGGAGTGGGGGGGAATACGAACCGCGTGAACGAGTGAAGCTGATGCCAAGGAGGATGTCGACTCTGATAAGCCAGAGAAGTACGTATGCAGTAACCAACCAGTCGCGGCTTGCGAAGGAGAAGAAGTCGTCTTCACGACGATGTTAGTAGCCATATGACGATAGCGAAGAACTACCTACCTACCTACCTACCTACCTAGCCGCCAACACTAAAATGTAAAGCGGAAGGAAAACGAACCGTAGTACTCTAAAGGGAGGGAGGGGGAAGGGGGAGGTAGTTGGTATTAGTTGGTTGCTTAGATCTGGTAGCTGGCTGCTGGGGAACTGCACCTCGTGCGTGTGGGTTGTGTGTGCTCTGCTTGAGGGGCGGGACCAGGCATTGCGAGAGGGGGGAATCGGGGTTGGGGTTTAGGGGGCTGGAGTCGGAGCCGGCGTCGCTGGTTGGTTGGTTGGTTGGGGGCCGTTGATTGATTGGTTGGTTGGGGGCCGTTGGTTGGTTGGTTAGTTGGGACCGTTGGCTGAATGCCAGTAGTCCCTCTAAGAAGTCTGCGCACCGCAGGCGCGACGCTGGCTATTTAGCAGGCTGAGGTCTCGTTCGTTACCGGAATCGACCTGACCAGGCAACCCAATGTGTGTATGCGTGTAGTGTATGTGCTCCTGTGTACGTGCCTTCTCCCTCCCTGACACCCCTCCCCCGGGCCCCCCCCGGCCTCCTTTCCCACACCTCTGCCTCGCATGTGCCCTTGCCGCTACTTCTGCTGCCTGGCCAGGTGAGTCCGAAGGGAGGTTCGAGCTTTTTCGGTATATCGCGTTGGCGTCGGTCGGCTAGCCGGACTAGGATAGTCGGGTCGGTCGGGTCGGTCGCGCGTTTTAGTTTGGGGGTTTGGGAGGAGCAGTTGCATATCACCATCTTTTTTATTACCAGCCAATCAGCTAGTTCTCCAGGCCAGCAGCAAACTTTATTCCAGCTTTACGACAGCAGTGCTTTACTACTTCTCCGCCGCCTTCACACCTACTTTTCTACACCTACTTTTTTACGGCTTGGCAATACTACTTTTTCTGCTTTTTTAGTCCTGGCGGCTTAGGTAGGTAGTTCTTCCGACATCATCTTCACTTCCTCATCCCGAGGTCGCGGTCTTCTTCACGGACGCCTTTCGGTCAGTTCTATGTCTGGTACACTCTTGCCCTGGCAGCAGCTTCACTCGTGTGTGGTTCGTCTTTCCCCCCGGCCTCCCCCCCCGGGGCCAACACCGTCCAGGCAGCTTCCTGTACGCGGACCAGCTGGTAGGGGCTTTGGTGAGGAAGTACGGCAGGGGGGGATACAAGGAGGCCGTACTGTACGTGGAGGTACGAGGAGCAGAGGGTGGGTTTTGCCTTGGGGACAAATATACTGTTAGCGTAGTCGTACACAACACACACACGCGCGCGCGCGCATGCGCGCACAATTAATCCCAAACCCGCCAACCCGCAGATCTATCCCCCTCGTCAACCCCCCAAAACCCTACCCG